AAGCAGTGGTATCAACGCAGAGTACTCGTCTGTACTTGCGCACCATAAAATTTCGCAAAGTACTTGAAAAAACATTATCGGTAAAAACATCAACACGCTTCCGGGTTCAAGTCAATCATTCGCACTTGGCCGGTAGCGATGTTAGGACGGTTAGCGGAATCGAGAAGATCGCTCCAAATGCTGGGAGCGTGAATCCACGGTGGGGAGGACCCCGCCCACCTGCTGATTTCGCTCGTGTGTTAGGGCCGTTTTTCGCCGTTTTCGCGCTCTCGAATGTACATTTTCGGATTCAGCGTAGCGAGTAGGCCGGGGTTAGCACAAAATCTCAAAATCGAGTTTTTGCTCGGACACTGCCTTTAAGTGGCAGATTTCGTTATGAGATTGCATTTCTAACAAAACATCGATGCATAATCACGCCGGTCACATCATAATCACTGTTTTTTTTATTGTGCTCAACAAGTTTGTATAAGTTTAGTTTTTGAGTTTGAAAGGTTCTTACCCTGTTTGGTTTTGCATTATTTACCTGTTACTTGGCCCCTTCTGAAGTCTGAAACGATATTGGTTTCGAATAAAAAGCGGACCTGACCGTGCCAATAACTTCAAGCTTGCAGACCTCAGTGATTTTTCAGGAGCCTGTGGCTGGCGCGTGGCGCTTTTGCCCGCTTTCAATGGTTTTCGGCGCTTTTGGACACTTCGGAGTTTTTTCCGGCAAATTTAGCCGTCCTTTAGAAAAAGAACTGATTTTATTGAACACATCCTCCCCTGCTTCCAACTAAAATGATGATATTAGAATGAACCCTACTGCAATACAATTTACTTTGAGCTGTACCTCAAGGTACAATTTACCTTGAGGTATAATTTTCGTATCTACCAAAGTCTCTCTCTCAAGGTTAGATTTGCCTATGCCAAGATGATTAGGATTGACGTATATTAGGAGCATGGCATGACACACTTGCAGTAAATCGCTTTCTTTTGTTATTCCGTGATATTTTCACGAGGAACATGTTGATCGGTTTCAGAGTTTTACAGTCAATGATTTTGAGACTGTGCAGTATATATAAGCAACTACTCCAAACCCAAGGGGGGGGGGTTTATCTAACAACAAGAAGTTGATTGCTTCTAGTTAGATCGGATTTTAAATTCTGATATTGTTTCTACAACTATGGACCTACCTTTCTGTAAAAAATTCTTCTTGCACAGTTATCAAGAGAGTAGTCTTAACAAAAGCTTCCAAGTTTTCAGAGTAGTTTTTTCATAGTCATTTTAGACTTGAGTTGAAACCTGCCTTATTTGATGATGTTTTTACCGATAAAGTTTTTTTTTCAAGTACTTTGCGAATTTTTATGGTGCGCAAAATTCCGCCAAATATTTTTTGCCTCGTTCCGAGTTCTTTCTAATTCACACAGGCCCGATTATTCCAAAAGTAGTGAAGTTTTGACTTCCAAAGCTTCAAAATCATCATCATTGAAAGTATGTACAGACGGTTCCCTGATGGATCACTTTTGGGGTTGAATATTTTATTCAGCATAGTGTTATCTCTGAGCTTCATGCTGGATTCTGATGCAAGTATTGAGGAGAGCTCTTAATCAGTAGTTTATTGGCACGGCAACGTTTCGATTTTTAAAATCATCATCAGGCCTTGAATTACAATATATAAATGACATGTAAAAATTATGAAATACAAACGGCGCGTGTACCTCCATCTTCTTCTTAAACAGGAGGTAGGGAGGGGTGAAGTTGCGGATAGTATACAGTAGCAGTGGCCTCCTTCTTTGGTAAGTCAGTAATGACTTACCAAAGAAGGAGGCCAATACTACTCAATACTTGCACCAGAATATTTTGTTGCTCAAAGCTATAAATGTTCAAACCCACATGTTTGCGTTGTGAGTAAATGAAGAGTGGAGATGAAATTTTCCTGCTCAACCAGAAACGTCTATTTTTTGCATCTAACAGCT